ACATGGCTATAGTGTATGGTCTATAATGCGGCTAACTGCTAAACTGTCACTGACTCAAACACACTCTCTCCATCACTTCCTCCCTTCACCTATTCACTCTCTCACACTCACTTAATCTTTCTTTCATCTCTATTTCCCTTCCATTCCGTTTGTCCCTCTCCATCTCCTTCTCTTGATGTCTATTTTACCTCCTCTCTGGTTTGCCCTCCAAAGACTTGGCCATTGATTAAACACCCAATAAAGTTTTGGCTACCACATAGGGTCAAAAAAGCAATTTCCCAGTGATGTCATAGTTTGGATTTCTCGCACAGGCACCAGTCTCCGACCTCAAGCTTTTGACCAGCAGCATCAAACAGACAGCTAAAATAACCAAACAGGGTCAGCTATATTGAGTTTGGACAAGTTAGAAACAGGTCATGGTAATTACACGTCTATTTAAAGGGCTGGAGACTTTTAAATCACTGAACTTCTTGAGTTACAACCTGTGTAAATCATCAGAAGGAGGACAAGGTTTATTTTACTGAAAACAAATTGTGTCAAATTGAGTACTTGCAGTAGATTTCCATCTTGGCAATTGAGAAAAAATCTTTGCATACTCAAAAGATCAGGTAATCTCACTTACTCTGAATCTCTGTTAATCTGATAATGGTATCAGTGGAGGATTGGCAGGTTTTAGACCCACTTGTTGACATTTTAATGTTCTGGCGAATGCTCGCACAGTGTCCAGTGGGGATTTTTAGGATCTGTTTCTCTCTCTCTGCACATTTTCTTCTTTTCCATCTGTTTTAGTCTTTGATGCTCGACAAGCAAATGTCGATTTAAACTCCTCAAAGTTGCATCTTGTTAGCAAACATCAGTATAAATTTACAAAAGTACTATTTTTTATTTAACGTACAGTACAGGCCAAAAGTTTGGACACACCTTCTCATTCAATGCGTTTTCTTTATTTTCATGACTATTTACATTGTAGATTCTCACTGAAGGCATCAAAACTATGAATGAACACATGTGGAGTTATGTACTTAACAAAAAAAAGGTGAAATAACTGAAAACATGTTTTATATTCTAGTTTCTTCAAAATAGCCACCCTTTGCTCTGATTACTGCTTTGCACACTCTTGGCATTCTCTCCATGAGCTTCAAGAGGTAGTCACCTGAAATGGTTTTCCAACAGTCTTGAAGGAGTTCCCAGAGGTGTTTAGCACTTGTTGGCCCCTTTGCCTTCACTCTGCGGTCCAGCTCACCCCAAACCATCTGGATTGGGTTCAGGTCCGGTGACTGTGGAGGCCAGGTCATCTGCCGCAGCACTCCATCACTCTCCTTCTTGGTCAAATAGCCCTTACACAGCATGGAGGTGTGTTTGGGGTCATTGTCCTGTTGAAAAATAAATGATCGTCCAACTAAACGCAAACCGGATGGGATGGCATGTCGCTGCAGGATGCTGTGGTAGCCATGCTGGTTCAGTGTGCCTTCAATTTTGAATAAATCCCCAACAGTGTCACCAGCAAAACACCCCCACACCATCACACCTCCTCCTCCATGCTTCACAGAGGGAACCAGGCATGTGGAATCCATCCGTTCACCTTTTCTGCGTCTCACAAAGACACGGCGGTTGGAACCAAAGATCTCAAATTTGGACTCATCAGACCAAAGCACAGATTTCCACTGGTCTAATGTCCATTCCTTGTGTTTCTTGGCCCAAACAAATCTCTTCTGCTTGTTGCCTCTCCTTAGCAGTGGTTTCCTAGCAGCTATTTGACCATGAAGGCCTGATTCGCGCAGTCTCCTCTTAACAGTTGTTCTAGAGATGGGTCTGCTGCTAGAACTCTGTGTGGCATTCATCTGGTCTCTGATCTGAGCTGCTGTTAACTTGCGATTTCTGAGGCTGGTGACTCGGATGAACTTATCCTCAGAAGCAGAGGTGACTCTTGGTCTTCCTTTCCTGGGTCGGTCCTCATGTGTGCCAGTTTCGTTGTAGCGCTTGATGGTTTTTGCGACTCCACTTGGGGACACATTTAAAGTTTTTGCAATTTTCCGGACTGACTGACCTTCATTTCTTAAAGTAATGATGGCCACTCGTTTTTCTTTAGTTAGCTGATTGGTTCTTGCCATAATATGAATTTTAACAGTTGTCCAATAGGGCTGTCGGCTGTGTATTAACCTGACTTCTGCACAACACAACTGATGGTCCCAACCCCATTGATAAAGCAAGAAATTCCACTAATTAACCCTGATAAGGCACACCTGTGAAGTGGAAACCATTTCAGGTGACTACCTCTTGAAGCTCATAGAGAGAATGCCAAGAGTGTGCAAAGCAGTAATCAGAGCAAAGGGTGGCTATTTTGAAGAAACTAGAATATAAAACATGTTTTCAGTTATTTCACCTTTTTTTGTTAAGTACATAACTCCACATGTGTTCATTCATAGTTTTGATGCCTTCAGTGAGAATCTACAATGTAAATAGTCATGAAAACAAAGAAAACACATTGAATGAGAAGGTGTGTCCAAACTTTTGGCCTGTACTGTATATAACATTTTCCTATTATTTTTTTTAGAAACTATGTTTATTGGGTTTTGCACTCACCAGCCACTTTATTAGGTACACCTTGCTGAACTGCCTTAATTCTTTGTGGCATAGATTCACAAGGTGCTGGAAACATTCCTCAGAGATTTTGGTCCATATTGACATGATGATATTTGTCGGCTGCACATCCATGATGTGAATCTCCCGTTCCACCACATTCCAAAGGTGCTCTATTGGATTGAGATCTGGTGACTGTGATTGGCCATAAGAGTACAGTCAACTCATTGTCATGTTCAAGAAACCAGTTTGAGATGATCTGAGCTTTGTGACATGGTGCGTTATCCTGCTGGAAGTAGCCATCAGAAGATGGGTACACTGTGGTCATAAAGGGATGGACACGGTCAGCAACAATACTCAGGTAGGCTGTGGTGTTTAAACCATGCTCAGTTGGTACTAAGGGGCCCAAAGTGTGCCAAGAAAATATCCCCCACACCATTACACCACCAGCAGCAGCCTGAACCACTGATACAAGGCAGGATGGATCCATGCTTTCATGTTGTTTACACCAAATTCTGACCCTACCATCTGAATGTGGCAGCAGAAATCCAGACTCATCAGACCAGGCAAAGTTTTTCCAATCTTCTATTGTCCAGTTTTGGTGAGCCTGTGTGAACTGTAGCCTCAGTTTCCTGTTGTTAGCTGACAGGAGTGGCACCTGGTGTGGTCTTCTGCTGCTGTAGCCCATCTGCTTCAAGGTTGGACGTGTTGTTGGTTCAGAGATGGTCTTCTGCAGACCTTGGTTGTAACAAGTGGTTATTTGAGTTACTGTTGCCTTTCTCTGTTGCCTCTGACCTCTGGCATCAACAAGGCATTTTCACCTAGAGAACTGCCGCTCACTGGATATTTTCTCTTTTTTGGACCATCCTCTGTAAACCCTACCCCACCAGTTTACATTGAATAAGACAAAAGTCTTGCAGATGCAGGGGATACCATTTTCCTGCCTGCCTTTTCTGTCTGTCTTCCATGGTTATATACAGCGTGTGCAGGACTGTAACAACTTCGGGGTTTTGCAGAGCATGCATATTCCACTGAATGACCCTGTACGATTTCAAACAAATCCAATATATTTATTTAAGCATGTATGCTACTGTATATTGCTGTGCAGTTTTCCAGCTGTCGAGCATCACAGCAGGGCCCGCAACATTTTATTACTGAGCTTTCTTTTCAGTCACTCTATTAGAGGGTATGTGTTTCCATAGACCACACAAGCTCAGCACAGATCAGAAGTTTCTTCTGCCGCAATTCAAACTTTTACACCAGAATGTTAAATTCAGACCAAAGTCCAAAAAAGACTGAAGGTTAAAACAGCCCTGCTATTTTTGAAAGCATGTAATTTTGCTTCCCGGGCAAGCCGCTTGCTGTTACAAGGTTTTAAGTTCACATGACATCACTATCATTAAAACACAATGACATCATCACAAAGGACAAGTTTCAGAAGTTTTCAAACGCCTGACTGAGCACAATTTATGGTTTAGAGCAAAAGGATCTCTGGCAAAGTGATGACTGCTCGGTTTCTGCTGCCATACTGTGGAATGAGGGCATAGCACACACACACACATACACACATACACACACACACACACACACACACACACCGCAGTGACATAATGGTTCAGGTTTCCTGAGATTAAATATACAGCAGCGTGCCCCACTGACTGTAATGTAACTTATTGTCTAGATAGTGTTTCTGTCCTCAGCTCTCTATTAAACAGTGACTGGAAAGTACAAACGTGACCCTCTTTTAACCCAGAGACTCAGGTCCAGTCAGCCGTGTCGACAAACATCTACAGATTCGGTAGCCCGTTACACATAGTTCATGCCAAAGATCCAATCTCTACAGCAATTGTATCTGGGGCCATGGGCATGGGCTAACCTTAACCCTGGCACCACTGATGGAATATACATTTCACTTTCATACGATGAATTATCTCATACCACTCTGACAGTCTTGGAGTTGAATTGGAGCCAGCTGTGAGGAGCTTAGGTTTGATCCTATTGATGTTTCTGTTGTGTAAGGCAATTCAATATGCTTATGAGGTGAGCAGGGTTTTCTTGCCAAGCTTTGCTTACCTCCTACCACAGTTTTGTTACAAAAGTAATTATTATTATAGTAATTTGTGTTTTTGTTTGCTATTCTGTAACAATAACTGCTGCACAAACCATAAACTACCCTGCTGTCCTTTTTACTATTTCACGGAAACATTGCAATTATTATAGTTTTGGAGGGGCCCAATCCCTACTTTCATTGAGTAGTCACAGTTTTAAAGGTTACCTTACAGTCAGCGCTCTGCATGCTCACAAATGCTGTCCAACGGTGTTTTTAGACACACATAATCATTTGCATTCTATAGTTAGATGTCTCAGAAAGTGTAAAGAATCAAAAATGAACAAATATCTGCTCTTATCTTGACCTCTAGCCATGACCACGAGACTCCTGTGGAGGGCCCTGTGCCTACTTGTTCTACTCTGCATTGTGTCAAACTTCAGCTTCGCCACCACTCACCAAGACCCCTCAGCCCCAGAGCAGGGAGTCACCTTCAGCCACGTCTATAAAATTGACATCCCGGGGAGCTCCAGTTGTAAACTTGAGCACCTGTCAGACCAGGATGAAACAGGTAATAAACAAAAGAAGAAAGCTAGAGAGAATGCAATGGAGAATAACTACAAAAGAGATATGAGTGAGAGTGAGACATGACGTGAGAGTGGGAAAAAAAGAACTGTTTTTGTGTTTTTCAACACAAAGATATATAATAAATTTAGTGTGCATTGCAAAGATTACTGTAGTAGATGAATGTAGTTTGGCGTGAATAGTTTTTTTGGTATCATTTTGGCTGCTTAATTTTTCGGGTAGTATGTAATGCTTATTTAGATTTTTCACCTGGCAATAAATATTGTACAACATTTACAGCATCATTGTGTGTGAGGAATGAAACAGTTGAATTTTTGTCCTGCTCTGTAGGTCTGCAGACAGAGACTACTACAAATGGAGAGAATGACATCATCTTCAGACACAACATCAAGCTGCAGACACCAAAGTGCGACTGTGAGGACTCGGAGAGCTTCAAGTCACTCTTGTACAGGGTCAACGGGCTGGAGGAGGAGGTCAACTACCTAAAGACCCAGTGTACTCAGGGATGCTGTGGAGGCCATGGGGCTGCAGGTGAGCTGTGCCACAACACAATATAATACAGGCAATAATATCGTGTAGCAGCTGAACTGGGAAGTCAACTCTTGACCCAATATCCTTCGGGTAAACAAGTGGAGAGAGGAGTTTGCAGTAGGGAAGAAGCTGCATTTTACATCCTGAAAACAGTATATTTTTTATGATTTATTTATTATAAAGTCAAGGGCATAGGTTTTGTTTCAACACTGGGGGGTGACACATCCTCTTGAGACCCAAGCTTTTATTTGGTTTGCATTTTTAATTTCTCCTAGTTATTTGGGATCAGTAGGACCTATTAAGTATAAAAAATGAAACATTGTCAACAATTATAAAGTCTCAGTGTCCTCAAACAAGACAATAATAAAATTCCAATGTCCTCAAACAAGTACTTACTAATTAACAGTGTCTTAGCTTGCTACTGTTTCTAAATTTGGTCAATTTTGTTGCCATATCAAAGTACAAACATTATTAATCATAAATAAACAAGTTTCAACCATTAAATGTGATCAGGTTTTTAATCTTGTCCATTTTTGTGTGGGGATCAGCTATAGACTGACTTGGCAGAGATGGCTGCCATCTTGTTTTTAAAATATTAGTGTATTGTGCTCTTACTACCACTAGATGGCACACAAAAGTGTCCACAAATGAGGACAACAGGTCTATTAGTCTGAGTGGACGGAAGTTCGCTGCATAGATCAGCCTCTCATTGGGCGGAATGAGCCACCCGCTGAAGTCCCGCCCTACCACCTCTGGTTGTGTAGCAGTTTTTAACCGTTTTCAACACGTCCTTTACTAACTTTTGCGGTGTTTGATCTTGTGGGGATGTAGCCATTTTTCTGCCATGGTTAGCATCATGTAGGAGATATTTTTGTGGAAGTGTTACACCAAAACCTGTTTCCCCCCAGCAATATTTTTGCAAGCGCACCGTTGCTGTGGCACCGCCCAGAACGATTGTGATTGGTTGAAAGAAATACAAGCAGCCGGGGTGTTTTTTCTCCAATCTTGAAGTGAGAGTCAGCCCAGCCAGACCTTTCTTTTCTTGAGAAAGGTCTGGTGAGCGAGACTAGCTGTAGACTGACTTGGCAGAGATGGCTGCCATCTTGTTTTTAATGGATTAGTGTATTGTGCTCTTACTACCACTAGATGGCACAAAAAAGTGTCCAGAAATGAGGACAACAGGTCTATTAACTTAGACTAGTAAAAGGTCAAGTAAACCCAAAATGTGATGTCCTCATATGAAGACACAGGGTCCCACACTTAATTTCCTGCATTCTGGTGAAATTAAATTTAAATAAATTTAAATTTAAATAAAAAAAATTTAAATGGTGTGCCTTTTATGCATTAACTTATGTTGTAAGTGTGTTTAATTTTGTCACAGTGAAAGACCTCTACTCCTTTCATATTTCATTGAGGGGGACAAATGCACATGCAAATATTGAGGGGAATGTGTCCCCTGTGTCCCCCCAGAAATCTACACCCACATAAAACAGTATGCAAATAAAAAGAATAGAATCATCAAAGAGTAAGTGAGGATATTTGCAAGTAAAAAAAAACCAAATACTTTATACCTATAAATAATTTAAATCTATGAATAACCCCTTCTCTGTCTCCAGGTGTGGACACAAGCTGTAGTGGCCATGGTACCTACCAGCAGGACACCTGCAGCTGCCTGTGTAACCCAGGTTGGGAAGGCCCAGACTGCTCAGTGTCCTCCTGCCCAGATGAGTGCAATGACAACGGCCGGTGCGTGGATGGAAAGTGTGTGTGCCACCAGGGCTACACAGGGGAGGACTGCAGCCAGCTCCTGTGTCCAGACAACTGCAACGACAAGGGACAATGCGTGGATGGAAAATGCGTGTGTTTCCCGCACTTCACCGGTGAGGACTGCAGCATCCAGAAGTGTCCCAATGACTGCGTGGGTAACGGCCAGTGTGTGGATGGCCAGTGCATCTGTGAAGAAGGCTTTTATGGCGAAGACTGTTCATTAGGTAAGTTATTCAGATTGTTTAAAACACGAACTCTGAATTTGTTTTCATTGTAAGCACAATAACTGGTGAAATAGGCGGTGATAGAGGCTGAGAGTTAAGCTAACATTAGTTTGTTAGCAAACGTTAGCGTGTAACGGGAGCTAACGGCTGATACGCTAGCAATAAGTGAATATGCTAGCACCAGTTAATGTTCACAGTATATCGCCACTCTGTTAATAGTTATCCCATATTGTATGTGTAGTGTGCAATTTACTCCCCCAAGTATTTTAAATAATAAAGATTTAATGCTATTAAAGGCACAAAATAAGCAGAGTTAAAGCTCAGTTAGCTAATTGCGAGTTAGCTAACTGTTAGCTAACTGTTAACCGAGCTAATTGATGGTTAGCATGAAGTGACCTGATTTCAGACATGAATATCATTAAAATAACCAATGTTATTATCTATGAAATTAAAAAAAACAACTAAGCCCCACACCTTTGTGATGGTCCGCCAAGCTGTTGGAGCTAGCATGGCCCCGACACTGTAACTAACTGCACTCCCATAAGAAATATTATTACATTTATTGTAAAACAAAAATGCACATTCTGAGAAAGGCAGACAGGGGGGTCTACAATATCTGTGTGAAGGATATCACAAGGATGTCAAACTGACTCAGCAGCAAAAACAGGTTAAAAAAGTTAAGATAGTTCGAAGCTAAAGCCAAACTACAACCTAAGGATGTCAGTGTCAAAGTGAACCACCATATTACTGTTGATTTAGACAGAAGACAATGAATATAAAGGGAATCTTTAATGATATTCAACCAGCTGTGTGTCATCGCAGTGTGTGAAGATAAGTGGTGTTTAGCTTCCCCCCGTCCAGCCAGCTGCCAGACCTCCACTGCTGGACGGGCAGGGAGCTTTGGGGGAAGCCAAGCACCGCTCATCTGCACACACTGCGAGGACACACTGCTGGTTGAATATTTGCAAAGTTTTCCTGCTTCACTTCACTAGTTCCTATACAGCAGGGTAGGCCTTTATTCAGTGTTACAATCATTAAAAAGCAAAAGTAGCATGTGTGTACATTCAGTAGGCTATATCTTCGTTTCAGGGTCTGAGTTTGGTTTGGAACAGGGAAGAAACATATATCTCCTTCCAAGCTTTCTAGGTAACGAGTATCGTTACTACACAACCTGCCCCAGGCACAACGGTTCGCTCAAAATCAGCCTAAAATAGGATGAAAGTCTGAAAGGATTGCAGCCTTTCGAGCACAAAATATAACAATCAAGCAGCATTTATAAGAATAAAAAGTTCCATCTTCAGCAAAAGTAAATTTAGGTACATTGTGCTGAATAGGCCTACCTCTCCTGACTGCAGTACTTTGATTTTAACTTTTGCCGTGTCCTATTAATAGTTGTACTTAATAAAAAGTTTTGAGTTGGCCTGCTTCTCCTACAGTTACTAATAGCCTACCAACAATCCCAGTCAGAGAAAGAGTGAAAATAAAGTGTGCAACGTGTGGAAAGTGTCAATTACATGAATCTCAGTGCATGAGAGTCTGCAGCCCTGCAGTTAAATACAGGGACATTTCTGGGGACAGCTCCAGATAGGGACAGGCCACCAAAAACAGGGACTGTCCCCAGAAAATGGGGGCATCTAGCTGATTAGCTCTGTCATAATGGGACAATAGGTTCACACTTAAAAAGACAGATATTTATTGTTGATTTCTGTCTCATAAATATCAGCAAACCTCAGCAAATACAACAGCGTGGGCTCAGAAAATGATGGGTTAATTAAAAGTGAGAGGTTTAACACAGCTCATAAGCTAGCTTCATCCGTTTTGGGCTCTCCGTTTACTCAAAGGGCACGTTAGAGGGCATGCTAAAGTTGAACTTGAAATATTCGTGCATGACCAGACCTTAAAGTGGATCACCATTAAATCTGCATTGTTGTTGGTTGTTGTTGTTGGTAAGCAATTCATAAAGAACAAAAAACACCAGCATATTTTCCAGTCTTTTTTATCCTTGCAGACATACATCATACATATAAGTTATGTTTTTATCGTAGCTAACAGTGACATTTCTGATGTGTGATGAAAGGTGTCTGAGCAAGCATATTCCACTGATCTTTTTATGGGTGAATTATATATCTGGGGAATAGCGTAATAACTTTTTATGACCTCTGCTTGATTTAGGTTCATCTATGTTTCTCATGAGAATTAAGATTTTACATTTCAGCTTTTTATTTTGTCACCTCTACAGCTCTGCTGACATTAAGCTGTTAATGTTAACTGCCATCTCATGGAAAACACAGATGCTACAAGGAGCTCTGGGACCATTAAAAACATAATACTTGGCCTGTTCACCTTTATATACATTTCTTTTTCATATCATTTAGTAAAAAAACTCTTAGGTTATTACTGAATAAATTCTTAGAGCTCAGAGAAATCAATTCGTGCTTGTACCAGCTTATCTGCTATCAGCTGTTTGATTCATGCTGCAGCATCTATGGCTCATTAACTTTTTGTACATCAGATATTTTGACCTTTAACAGTAGGAAAAGCACAAGTGTTACTATTAACATTAATGGTGGTTTTGTTCTATTGAAGTGCCCCAGTAAGAAATGATAGTGTGACAGTCAGCTAGCATGCACAATATGAGGACACTGAGGCTAAAGTAGCTAAATGGAATTCAGCTATCATTCATAATATTTTTTCCACCTGTGCTTTGTATTCTGTAAAAGCCCTTATTTAATCCAATTAGGTTTACTGTTAAATATTTACACGTGAACAGAGAGAGATAAAAGGTTCAATAAAGTATCTGAGCTGAGCAAGTAGTTTGCAATGTGGAAGACAAACCCAGAATTAAAAGCACCATTTGAACCCTACTGTACCAGTAACACTTAAATCATTTCTACCAAATTTGACTCCTAACTATTTGCAATACATGGTCAATCCATTGACATACGTCTGAACCTAAAGGTATGGCAGTGATGATGGCCACAGTGACCTACTTCTGGGGAATTCAAAGCATCTCTCCAACAGTTATTTCAGATAGAGCAGCTGATGGGGCCTTTTCAGCGGGATGACCCTATGACCACTGACAGCTATCGCCTCTGGACAACAAATGACATCAGGTCACATACTGTAATACCACAGGAATATAAGAACACCCATCAGTCTTGTGGGGCTCCATTTGGCTTTGACCCACCTGAAGAGTCATCACCTTTCCTTCTAAATGCACTGCTCACCAAACCACTATTACTGTACTGCCTCAGGAGCAGGGTATAAAATTGCATTTTATGGCAATTTAAGGCCAGGCGAGCAGAAAGGTGAGCAGCAGCAGCCAGGCATGAACAGTTTAATACACTGAGTTCATACTCTGACAGTTATTTCTAAGGTTATCTTGAAGATTCAGCTGCAGGTGAACGGCACAGAATTTAGCTTTTTCAAAGTGCTCGTCTCTTGGCCTGCAGAAGGAGCTTTAAAATAATATTCTATAGATGGCAACCCCTGGCCGTACTTGTCTATGGCATTTCTTCCTCTACATTTAACCCAGAGTACAGAGCTCATACTTTAAAGCAGGTTTTTTTTTTAACGTTTGCTGCACATGGATCCACCAAAAGAAGCTCCACAACCAATTTCAGGTCCTGAACCACAGTCTTCACAGTTGCAGGTCAGCTATGTCAAACCCTTGATGGTGATTTAGTTTCTTCAAGCTGTGTTTTGCTCTGCAGAGGCAGAGCATAGCGAGAGACAGATCTGCGGCTTCGTGTGTAGGTGCTGTTGAATAGAGTCCAACATCAATAGTGGCACCGTGTCAGAGGAAAAGTCAGGGAGGAAGGGGAAAGTGGGAGGTTAGAAAAAAAATACATAGTGTTGTTTTTAGGTGTTAGTAATAGTTGTGGTAATAAGCACCGAGAGAAGAGGAGACATTTCTTTGTTTTATGTGGCTACTTTCCATTTCAGCACCTGGATGATGGATGTCAATCTGCTCCCTGCGTGATGACATGACTCTTGAAATACGGCTTTAGATATACTGTACATTTCTCGCCATTAATGTTGATACAGCTTCAATATTATTTTTTATCTCCATTATCAAAGGCAGACACCATGAGGGTTCAGAGAAACAGTGATGCTTTAACAGTGATAATATTTTTATAGCCTGAACCTTTGTCTATCCATCAGATTAGAGTAGAAAAAAAATTGGAAAGTTCAGCAGCCACATTTAATGAGATAATCTCGTTACAAAGCTGGTGAGATTTTTAAAAATGAATACAGTAACCTCTTTAGAGCCCTAATAACACAATGCAGATGCTGTGGATTTAGTGTTCTTATGGTAGCTCTTTTGACTGTCTCAAAAATGTCTGAGATTATGTTCAACATAATGTACCTTTTGAGAATTGTCCTCAACTCAAAACCGTATTTGGCTTCTTCTTCAAGTTCTGTGTGTACAGTAAGTGAAATGTCTCAGAGACTTGATTCATCTTTCCCATTTTAAAATATTTATAAAACACATGGGAAAAATAATAGGACACAGAGGAGCAAAAAATAGAAGCTAACTACCATTTGATTCCCATTTCATTTGTCCTGAACAACATTAACACCGATATTTCCTTTGTGCTCACTCTTTGCAGATTTACAGCCTTTTTAAGCAGTCCAAACTTGTTATTTCAGTCATATTTTCCTCAGAGAAGACACAAATCACTATATGTTTCCACTTTTTCCCATCTTAATATGTTAATTTATTCACCCCAGCTGTTCTGAGATATTATTCGAGGGTAAAGATTGTTGATAGTCGTGCCTAGAGTAGCAACAGGGGGATATTAACTGCTACTGCATGGAAAAGGATTGCTACATTTGAGAAAAAACATTAAGCTTCCTGACTTTGCCTTGTGGAACGGCATATGAACCTGATGTGAATTACTTCCCTGCCAAAGTTATGGTGGCCTCCTTCACCACCCATCTCACTTTCTTCCCCTTGAAATATGCTTACGTTTGTGTGTGCTTCTCGAAATGTACCACCATCTACCATCTATTTATTTCGCTCTATCGTGGCCACAGAAAGTTCTTCTTGTTTGTGGAAAGCCTCCCTCCCCAACACTGCTGACTTGCTGTCTACTGTCTTTTGGCTGCTATTTTGTTATTGTACTAGTAATATACCTTCTGATTCGCCCCCTGCTGTAATTTTTCCATCATCTCTGATGAAGCCCTTTGGCCTTGTAAAACCACTGAAAAGTAATATATTTTCCAGTTTCCATCTCAGGTGTGCTAAAGAAACCTCACTGCATTGCTTTTTCCTGGTTCATGATTTCCTGGTTCTAATGTCATTTTGTGGTTTTTTAGGTTTTTAAAAGTTTGCACTGCTTTTTCAAGGCAGTAGCTCAGTCCATAGGGACCTGGCTGTGAAGCAAAGGGTCGGTGGTTCAAGTCCCCCTCCAGGTATGGAGTGTGGACTGGTAGCTAGAGAGATGCCAGTTCATGCTCCAGAGCACCACAGAGGTTCCCTTGAGCAAGCCTCTAAACCCCCAACTGCTCAGGGCACCTGTCCATGGGCAGCTGCCTCACTCTGACATCTCCCCATTTAATGCACGTGTATAGATCCCATTTGTGCATGTGTGTATGTAACATGTACATAACAACAAAACAGGGATTGACAAAGTATGTTCTCTTCTTCTTCTTCTTCTCCCAAATAATGATATTGATCCAACCAGAAGCTATAAGAGTATTTATTCAGTGTCTATGAGTTAACCTACTGTATCTCTGCTGCATTGAGATGAAATTACTTAAGTTAAGAAATATATCAAAAAACAAATGGAACTACTTGTAAAATTGCTCAGCAGTAATGTAGTACAAACTGTAGTACAAACAAAATATAGAAAAACATTGACACAGTCTCCTCATTAAGGCCCCTGTAATTGTGGTTTTTTAAATCTTAAATATTCCAACATTAATATTCATTATTTAAAAAAGGATTTACTCAAATTTGATTGAGTGCTGACCACACAATCAAATAATGCCACATTTAACATCATTGTGGCTAAAACCTTGGTGCACAGAGATGCAAAATCATCTTTTTCTTACTGACACTATCCTACCACAAACCAGTGTGAAAATCTCTCATGTGAGATACCCTAAATTGTTTTTAACTATGACAGAAAAGGTTGTGGTCATATACAGTCATTGTAAGTAGCAGAAATGTATCATAAATAATCAATATATAAACATAAATGGTTTACAATGATTAGAATGCAGTTGTAACTCCTCCTGTAGACACCAGAGATGGAAGATGGCAACAAAAAATGAATGACAATAATAGTAAAACACAGTTGTGATAATAATAATAAAAAAAAAGATAATATAGAACTTTATTTATCCCGGAGGAGAGGAGACATTCTTATTGTTGACAAGCACTGTACATTCATAAACACTAAAAATGTCCCTCTGTCTGCTTGCAACAGTGTTATTGCCATTTAATACTTTTATATACTGATTATACGGGATAAATAGGGACACTTAAAGTAAAGTGTAAAAGACCCAGAGGAAATAGATTTTCTGGTCCTTTAAGTAAGTGTATTAAGGAAGAATAAAGGACATAAAGAAAACGACAAAGGGAAATAGTCAAGGGGCTGATTAAACAGATGGAACATTGTATTAAAATGTGCTACTGTGTCTCTGTTAAACCTTTTCTCTCTGTCTCATCCTCTGCCTGTGTCTACCTCGCTGTCTCTGTCAGTCTTCGGCCCTCAGGGTCTGCGGTTGGTCCAGCTGACCGACGTCTCCCTCCTGGTTGAGTGGGATTCAGTTCGTGCAGCAGAGTATTACATTTTGACATATAATCCCAAAGATGATGAGAGACTCCTGGAGCAAGTAGGTTTTTGGTTTCTCTTTGATAGAATCTGTAGGAATGTCAAATAAAGGAAGCAGCATGGAATGATATATATTTTTTAATATTTTACCCTTTGTTTCAACTCACTGTATCTTAGATCCGGGTTCCCAACACAGAGAACTCCTACCTCATCACAGGACTGGAACCTGGGATCACATACATTGTCAAGGTGTATGCTGTCGTTAAAGAAATCCAAAGCGAAGCAGACAAGATTGAAGCAACCACAGGTGAGCACAGGCTGCAGGTGCAGGATTGGAAACAACAGTGAGGCTTTGGAATGTGTGCTTCTTTTGACTAAACGAGCATGACGCAGATTACGAACCATTACTGGTGAAGTGGTGCAGGGCTGGGTGCAGCATGTTGCCTTTAAATGTGTTGTGTTGGTGTTGTAGTTTCAAAGGCAGATGTGACCCATTAAAGACTCAAGTGGCAGGGAGTCTAGGTATGGCCTGCAGGTTTGGGGGATTTAGTTAGATTTTCTGTGGATTAAACAGTCACATTTGAGGTCAAATCTAAGTGCGTGCATGATGAGGCATGAAAACACTTAAGCGACAAGCTCTTAAATGTTTAGAGGAAGGAGGTGTTGCAGATTAGGTACCTAGATTTTAGGAAAGAGGCAAGAACACAGCACAAGGGTAGACAAGTTTGACATTTGTATATTGATTTGATAGTTGCACATCTGAACAATAGCACTTTATGATGTGGGCAGGCACATGATTAAGGTATACATTTATGCATGAATGACCAGTCTGTTCCACATATGCTAAATTGCTTGCAGCTGCAGTTAAAATGAGAAGATTTTTTTCCTGTATTTAAATCTACCGTAAATGTCTTTTGCGGAAATGCGATGCAAGAGAGCAATGAACAAGCTGAAGCCCGTTATTACTAAGTGTTTCATTAAGCACTGGTTTGTTAACCATTAAATTTAAAGGTAATTACAAGGAAATGGCTCCGCGGATGTGTTTAATGGAAATCGGACTTGTTCACAGATGTGGTAGAGACAGATGTGAGGAGAAAGAGATTACTAGACAGGATTGGGTGGGCGTGAGCGAGACAGACAGACAGAGGGAGCGATTGAGTTTGGCTCTAATGTGTGGTTAGCCTGGTTAGCCATGGAAAACCTCACAGAGCATGGCATCCCCATATGGGCATGGGAAAACACGCCATCATCTGGCTTATGGTTGTGTGAGGAGTGCACAGCATGAGGCAGACTGGTTACATAGTCCTCGACTTCAAAAGATGATGTACTTCAAAAGAGGGTTTAAGTGAATGTTTTTCTTTCTCCTCTAGAAAAACCCAATAGCTGCCATAAAAAAATACTAACGCTTTTCATTTGGTACCATTTGTTTTGTTTGATGGTACAGTTCTGTCTTTTTTCACCATATGATGCCAATTCTGACTTCCCCCCTGGCTATACTAATATCCTAAATGGTACCTATCTGTTTACACAGTTACATTCATGTATTTAATGCAATTTAATCTTTGGCAAATACCTCTGTGTGGGTATGATGCAGTATGTATAGTATCTCTGACTCACAGATAGGTTAAACCAGTGGTTATGTGTTATCACACTTAACTTTTGCATAAAATATGTGTATATATTTGATGTCTTTGACTTTAATGGCAGAAAAACAATAATACAGATGCATTATTTACACTGTCTATGCAGTTATATATTCTTATTTAAGGAATTTATGAAATTAATTCATGTAAGATGAGCAATGATTACATAATTATTCAATACCATTCACAATATACTCGAACATAATAATAATGAGAGTCGTACTGTGCTTGTATTTGTTTTAAATATGTGTTAAATATGTTTAACTTCAGTGTGCAGTTTTCCTGACATGTAAGTGAAGATATTATCCACAGTATATTGTAAGACAAGGCGTGATTTATTTATTTTGATAGAGTAAAATACTAATTTTCTAGTATCATGTTTGGTTATGATATTGATGGCCAAATAGGAAATTCCTGTATGGCCTCCTCCCAAGAAAGGAAGGTAACATTTCAGGGTGGAGGGGATCCGTCGTCTAGCCCAGGGACATGGGAGTAGAGCAGGGCAGATGCTTGTGATTAAGGAGGCTTTAACGCAGGCTTTCCAGTTTAAAGGGTCACGTCTGTACTCCCAGTTCCACCTTGCTTTCCAACACTTGTATCCTTCCCAGATGTCTCTGCCATCGATGGCATCAGAGTTATTGGCCAGACAGAAGTCTCTATTCAGGTGGACTGGAAGAACCCATCAGCTGAGGTGGATCACTTCAGGCTCACACACACTGACCCGGCTGGACAGGAGGAGGAGCTGAATGTACAGAGGAGTCAAGAGGCACGCACAAAGCACACTATTGCCGGTAAGAGTTTTAACAGACAAAAAAAACAAGTTTGCATAGAAGATGTAAACACAAATAAAAAACCCTTAAGCCCCAAAGTTGTGCTCTTATCTTAAAGTCTCTCTGGTTAAGCGTAAACTTTGTAATAATTTACCTCTCAATATGATATCATTCAATTCAAAAGACCCACTAAAGGCTCAGTTATACTCGCTGCACAGATGGTCACACAGCAATGATGTGGGATTGTGACAAAGAACCGTTTGGATGTTTTATATTCTTTGCAGTTTGTCCTTATGGCAAACCAATATTTTCCCAAACTGTTGAGGAGTGTATCAGAAACTCAGGTTTATAGCATGGTTCTTCGTCGATGTGCGTCCGTGTGTAATTAGGTAATGTTGAAAATTCCCTGACAGGCCAAAACCCGCTGCATGAGACCTCTTGGAAGGACCATGCCTAATAGATAATAGATAGAGGTCACTTTAACCGTGCAGGCACTCAAGACCATCACAGATGCATCAAGCAAAAAACAAGCTTTATATTTCTTGCTTTTTTGAACTGATATTTTGCCCTTTTGTTAATTTTATTTCTGTTTTTTTTTTTTTTTTTTAATGCCTTTGTGCCATGAATAACTGTACCCGGAGGCATTATGTTTTCGTGTTGTCCGTCCACCCATCCCAATATTTTGAACGCAATATCTCAAAAAGGCTTTTGGGAATTTCCTCAAATTTGGCACAAACGTCCCCTTGGACTTATCAATGAACTGTTCAGATTTTGGTAGTCATGGGTTAAAGGTCAAGGTCACCGTGACTTTGTCTCATTCTTGTGAATGCAATAATTTCTTTAAATCTGGCAAAAACTTCAACTTGGAATCAATGATAAACTGATGAGATTCTGGTGTTCAGGGGCAAAGGTTAGTGTGACCTTGCATCCGTCTCATTCTCATGAAGGCGATAACTCCAGAACACAATGAGGAAATTTCTTCAAATTTGGCACAAACGTCCCCTTGGACTTAACGATAAGCTGTTCAGATTTTTGTGGTCATAGGTCCCAGGTCAAGGTCACTGTGACTTTGTCTCATTCTTGTGACTGTGACATCTCAAGAACACCTTGAGGAAATTTATTCAAATTTGGCGCAAACTTTTACTTGGATTCAAAACAAACTTAGATTAGATTTAGATTAGGTTTAGGTGGTCAGAAGTCAAGGTCAGTGTGACCTTGCATTCATCTCATTCTCGTGACCGCGTTTTTCCAGAACACCTTGAGGGAATTTCTTCAAATTTGACACAAACGTCCACTTGGAGTGAAGAATAAACTTAGATTAGAATTTTTATATCCAAAGGGTCAAAGGTCAACTTTGCTGTGACATCATAATATTCTGCATGAAACACCTTTCTGGCCATTACTTAATGTCATATCTCAGGAACAGAACGGGAGACATTTGATCAGATACTGAATTGGTGACACTAATCTTGGGTGGCAACTTTCAAACTGTGCTGATTGTATAGATCTTCTGTATTGTTGGGGGGAAAAGGGGTGTGAAGCATCCATATGTTCAAAACACATTCAGTAAATATGCACACACATACAGTACATACATGTAAACACACCTCTGAGCTGTATCACATTATCAATATATTAATACAGAATTGTACATAAAAGCATGTAATACAAATACATGACTAAGTGGAATGTCATATATTTATTTATGCCAAATATCATTGTATCACAATATGCAGTATACATTTTAGTACAGACGATAGAAGACAGCATTCATGTCATAATAGTATAGAGCAGTGGTTCCCCATGTTTTTGTCTTGCGAGCTCCTAAAATGAAGCAGTGTGTACTTGACAAGCCTCATCATAGATAATGGCCTCAGTGTAGACAAGAGTTATGACGATCAGGTAAACCAAATGGATTTTTAGGCCTGACAAGTTGAAAGTCTCCAGTATTTTGCAAAGGAAGAGAAGTCAGACATATAAACATGTGGTGGAACAGGAACGAAGGAGATTTAAAAATGTGTCTTTCTGCAGGTCTGTTTCCAGGAACAGAATACCAGATCTCTGTGCAGGCCATCAAAGGAACCACTGAAGGAAAGCCTTCCACTGTCACTGGTGCAACAGGTCAGTGTCAGCATGTCAGCGTCCATGATCTATTCAACCCAATGTGTCACACAGTGTAAATTCTGTATATTATCAGTCAGAACAAAATGGGGCCAATTTTCCCCACATGGAGTACCGCTGGACGGAAATTGCAGAGACTTGCGTTTGTGCTACCACCAACTGTGTCTGGATTGGATGACACTTAAAATGATAGATCAGCCACTTGTGGAAGTGAAACACATTAAAGACACAGTGAGGACATCCATATTCCACTTAGTCTTAAATTGGGTGCAGCATCAAAGACAGCTCTTCACTCTTGTCAGGCCACCAGTTATTCAGCAGTGGTTGGAACGTAATAGGAAAAACACATAATATGTCATACACAATACTGACATGTGGTATGATACAACCTGGTATTACCTTCCACTCACGGCCAACGGTAACAGCATAATAAATACAGCCGGCAAGGAGCATGATTTTTGGTTAATGACGAAGCCCAGGAATTTACAGCCCAATAATCTGGACAGGTCGTAATGGCTGTGGTGAGCTTGTTCACCAAGAGGAAACATGATATGGATGGTGTAACGACTACAAGATGCGCCCTGATGGTTGAAGTGAGAAGGGTCGTGATTTACAGAGTCCGCCTGGTAATGTTGGATTTTAGTGGTGTGGCGTTGGGTTTGACGCATTTGTGTTAACGTTTCGTTTTAGGTTGTGAGGAGGAATTCATTTTACAGTTTCACTTTAGCAGCTGGTCATGGCATTCAGTTGCTTTAAAGTTATTATTTAAGTGACTGAGGAGTGGTCCACAATGGCATGACAGGTCTTCAGTTTCTCCCATTACTCTGCTCATTTGTGCTTTGTTATTGTCTACTTTCATGTCTTTCATTTCTCTTCCTTTCTTTCCTCCTTCACCTAATCTCTCATCCACCCTCAGAGCTTACTCAGTTCAAAAACAGTCTCCAGGTTGATGGCTCTTCATTTTTTTAGACCCTGAGGCAGCCAATTTAATGGTTTTTAGTCATCAGTGTTAGCTAGGTATTTTCAAGACTCACCTCTCTTCTTTTGCAGTCAGTCAGGTGCTCAAGGGCCCCTGACACTGCTAATCTTTCTGTGTGTGAGTGGGCCACCTACTCGTGCAGTAATTGCATGTGTCTGTGTGTGTGAATGTGCTAATCTACACCAGACAGACAGTGGCTTGTCTCCACTCCAGTGGCTACAATCCTTCATTTTAGGTGTTGCACGAAAAGGCTTAGAGGTGATTGAGGAGGATAGTCCTCAGCTCTGCTTGCCAGCGAGGATGTGCTGGTTTTATGATGTCTGGCATGACGCAACAGAGACCACACTCACCTATTATCTCACCAAACACGCTGTATGCACTGGGCCAGCGTGGTTATATGCAATGAGAGATACAAGGAACATAAGGAGGGAACTAAGAAAAGAGCAAAAGCAATAAAGAAAAAGAAGACAGCAAGTGCTATGATTACAGCAAGAAATGAGGGCACAAAATAAGCAAGAATAATAGGAGAGCACAGGGACAAAAGGGATGCAATGAGAAATCAAGATATTTATAGGGAAATCAGGGCAAGACTAAGGCAGTATATAAAAATTGATGTGTCACAAAGAGGCAGTTTCAGTGACATTATGTAGTCGTGCATAATGCATTACTGCATAGCTACGGTTATAGTATGAAACTGAGCTTTTGCCTGGAGAGGCTGTAACTGGCTCTTGTAGAAAGACTTTTCTAAATTTCCCCCTCATTTTTACCATCAGTCTTCCACTCTTTCTCACTTTTCTCTTTCTCAATTTCCTTTCAAGGTTCACTGCATGTATTTTATTTTTTATCATGTATTTTGTTGTGGTCCCTCATTCCTTGCCGGACAAAAAAGCCACTAGAACCCACTAACATTTGGCTTTTGCATATGATGGGAAAGGTTATATTATTTGTGGACTTTAGTTCTGTCGTTCTATCAACGATGGAAATGCAACACATGCTAATTTTAGCCCCTATGCAAGTGTGATACAATGACAGGCTGCCACAAAATAACATCCATCTTTGTCCAAGCACTGTTTGAACATCATTCAACATTAAGTCAGCACTGAGTTTGACAGAACGACCTGATAAAAAAAAAACTGATATAAAAAAAGAAGTAACCACTGTAACATTTTCACTGGTGTCCATGCTGCTTTCTACTGTTTATTAACCTGTTTTCTGGGTCGTCTGTGACATCAAATGTGACACACCAGAAAAAAAACAGAAAGGCATACTCGGCTACTGCAGAGCCAAGTACACAGCTCTGGTCTATTGGAAATGGGAAAGTAGTCTACTGACTGTATAAACAGGTTTTCCCACTTTTAAAAAACCTGCATACACTCACTGATTTTGGTGGAAAAGGATATTTCAATCTTCCCTGTCATGCTACCACTTTGAAAAATGCAAAATAAGCACATACATTTGTTTATTAGTATGGGAGTTTATATACGATTCTTTACCAAGATGACAAAAGTAGCCCCAAACTTGTAAACATGTTTTTATTGTACACTGTAAATAGTGCTGAAATTGGTAGTATGTCCTTGGCCTTGTAAACTGCATGCTGTATGTGGTTATTGAATGGCACTGTATTTAATATTTATGGCTTGACTTCCATATGTGCATCATCCAGTGTGGCTCTGTAAATCATCCTCGCTCAGCCTGTGGTATGTTGAAATTATGCTAGTCTTGCTGTATAAATACATTATGTATGTGTTTGTGTGTGTGTGTGTGTGTGTGTGTGTAAGAGAGATTCCGTGGGTGGCTACGGTGTCCTTTATCTGCCATCAGTTCCAGCGTGAAATGATTCAGTGACAGCTAACATTTAGGAAAACACCAGAGTCGAGTGGATCCCTGCAGACATTTCACAGTCACTAACCTGCCAAAAGATTATAAGGCGTATAAACACAGCATACCATGGCTGCTACTGCTGATTCAGATTCAATAAAGTCACCACCAAGGCCCATATAACCAAAAGCAGATGGACTTGGCTTTGGTAGAGGAGCTGAATGTTTAGTCTTTATGTTATCTGGACACACTATATAGCACCTCATGTGGCCCAGTGGGAGTACCTTGTCTGTTCAGACTTGTCCATCAGCTTTTTCCGAGACAGCTCTGTGCAGTAGATACCAGAAAAATGACAAGTGAAAACGTAAGAAGGGACATTTTATAGAGATAATGATGAGAACTCTAACCCCTCTTTGTCTGTTCGTTATATTGGTGAGAGACAGCTCGATAGGCCCGTTCATGTGTGTGTGCACATTCAGGCTGGATATCAGTACTCAATGCCTTTAAGAAATCTACCGAAATAAACCGATACCAAGTGGTATGAAAACTTTTCCAGTCAAACTAAACCTGCATTCAGTTGTTTTATATATGGTTTTACTCGCAATTTCACACCCAATCATCAAGCATTCTTAATTTAATGAGACGTGTGATTGGCCCACTACCGCAGAAGCTACAACCCATTCAGTCAGTGGTGTGGTGAAGTCGAGCACAGTGTAATTGACAGAGTTGGCGATACAGCGTGCCGAGATGCCGCCAAAGCATTTTAAAGTATGACTATACTACACTTATGCAAGTGAATGCTTCCATTCACATAATAGGGGTATTGAATGAAGCAGCTATGTGTGGCATTAGGAGGATGCATGGATACATACATTCTGTAGCACAGCACTGAATCCTCAAAAGAAATTTTTGCGTCAGTTACAGTACGATTGGTGTGGGTTGAACTGAGGCTGGGCTTTTCTGTGTGTGTGTGTATAATGTTTAATTTTGTACATGTTCACACAATCAGAAATTAGAAAAAGATTTGTTTTATTTTGAGAGGTAATAATATATTGATACTTTCTGGTGATTGATAGCATTAGTAGTGACTTAATTAAAAAAACAAAAAGAACTATGTTGGTCTAACGGGGTGTGAAATTAGCACTAGTAGAGTGAGAGTAGCCTGGAAACCAGACGAATCTGCAAGCTCATGTTTCATTTGCTCTGGCAGATGCGTCTGGCTGGCCCAGTCACAGTTGTTTATCTAATATGGGGCGGGTTTGATACAGTGATTGACAGAGGAGCGTCACTGGCCCAGATTTGAAAAGTCACATCACACATTTCTCTGCTCTGATTGTGTGTAATTGCACCCAGTCTACTTTGTACAGCGCAGCGCACCATGCTCACGGAACTCAGATCAAACTGTCAAACAAGGCAGGACTGATCAAATATGAATCAGATTCTGTTACTGCATTGCCTATCGCCTGTTGATAATACCCAGATATCCAGATTAATTCCCATATGTGTATTACTCCGGTGATGCCAGGCTACAGTGGATGGATAATAAGCAGATGATTTATGATGGCAAAGGGGGCCTTTCATATCATCCGTATTGTATGCTGTTTCTACTTCTGGATGTGGCAAAGTAGACATGTCCATTCTGTCATGAAGAATTATGAGCTGCTAGTGGTACAAATAGATTGTTGGATAAACATGAAAAAAGCCTGTGGTCGCCAGAGGACTCCACAACAAAACATATGTCTCACCTGACACACTGTAGTTCCAAAAGAATGGCGCCTATTGACACATATTTTCCATGGGCCCAATCCACAGACGTATTGTATGGCTTCCTCTGCACAGTGAGGCCGTAAATGATGAAAGATGGCCTGTTGCTGTGCGCCTTGTGGTCGATGCCTCTGCTGAACATGCCACCCATAATGGATAAGCTGTTTTCCAAGCAGCCAAAGCCACAGCTCGTGTTCTGTAGCCCGGTAGCCACTGTCACTACACAGCTAGTGGGGTAGAACGTCTGGAGAAACTCAATCCATCATACACTGTAACTTCAGAGCAAATGCAAGGCGCCCTCAGAAAGTCGTAGTGTTTGGAAAAAGAGATCTAAAAACGTACAGACTGTATCAGACAGCCAAGACAGCAGCTATAGCGTCTATACGAGCCAAAGAAACTCCAGAGGGTAACAACATAACACCAAAGAGGGAGAGGGGAAAGTTTTGTTTTGAAGAACAAGGCATTGAATACAAGCTGAACTCAGATGGTTGTAAAGCAATTTTAAGCTGATTTGTAGTGACAGATAAAAAGCAATAGCACTCTCTCTGTCAAACTGTCAGACACTTTTATTTGCTATAGTTCATTTGGATTGTCTGACTGTTGTAAATCAATTTGATGCCCATTTATTTAATTCACTTTTATTAGATTAGGAGGAGATGTTGAGGCGACATCACTTTCGGTTAAAAAATGCAGGGTTCATTCTCTTCAAGCTGTCTGTAGCAAAGCAGTGTTTGTTGGGAAAAGTTAGGATTTATCAATGGTTGTTAAGATGATCTGCTCTTTTCAGGCCTGTTTCAGTCAAGTGTTGCCTTCACTGGGGGCACATAGACAGAAAGCACTGTCGGATGTCTGGCTGTACAGGATTAGATTGTTTCTCTTTTGAAGTGGGCAAATTTTGGTTTAGCAAACAAAAAAATATCTATTAGACTACAACATATGCACTTGTTAAACATAATCCAAAAGCCATTGATAGTGCAGCTGAAATGAAATTACTCCTATAAAGTGTGACAGCTACTCCCCAGTTGCTACCAGATTGCAAGCTGCAAACACAATCTGCACGCTGCCTGTTTGAGTGTCACGTTGTACTCACACATTCCTGGTGTGCAACCGTGAAGCTATTAGGTGTAATAGTAAAACGTTCACAGTCTGTGTGAAGATGTCAAAACAAAGGACAAAAAATTCAGTGAGTTATGAAAAGATTAAATGTAGTATATTTGTTTTTTTTTGGTGCATGTGTAATACAAACTGCTATTGATTTGCTTTTTTATTTAGAGGAACTGTTGCTTTTTATAGTCTCCAGTATGATAATCAAAGAAACCAAACATTCAGATGTAGTCCTTATATGCTGTTTCATTGTGTATGTTTCTGGGCTCCCTTAGTAGCGCTCACTTAGGTACTTAGACTCTTCATTGACCTCTCATTTTTAGGCCTTGGAGAAAACACTCAACCCTAATAAAATGGAGCCATTATACATTCTTTCTGTGGTTTAGCTCATGACAGACTGTCAGGCAGTGCAGCCGCAAGGACAGAAAAGTGACAACGGGAAAAAAGAGGAGAGACAAAGAGAGGGTAGAGCTAGACAGCTGCATGGTGCCTTTCTTCTTCTGGATGCATCATCAATCAGTTTTCATGATGCAGACTGTGCACTGACACAAGAATGACCTCCACTGAGCCGCTGCCACGGAGGAATAATCCTAAATGATGATTGCTTTTACATTTCCCCTCACTTCCTCTGTGTCTCTCTTACTCGGCCTCTGCGGCTCTTTCATTTTCTGTCTCCCTCCCCCTCTCTCTTTGCTTTCATCGAGACTCCCTCGACAGAGACTAACACCCATCCACACACATGCACCACCAACTGCTCCGCCTGCGTCTTCCATATGTCTCCTGTGATTCACCAAGCCCACTGACTTTACAAACAGGCTCTGTGTTCTGCTGCGCTCCTCTGTCCTCGTCCCGCTGCAGCTCATCCTGTGGAGCCCAGTGAACAGGACCAGAGCATGAGTGGGGTTGTGTGCTAGTGCTTTTTTCAAGAGCTTCTCAGAGCTCTTCCTTTGAGACGGTGGTTCATTTGTCATCTTCAGTGTCCATATGAAAGAGAAGTGAAGAACAAGCTTGCATACATTTATATTGGAAGTGTGCCACATCCACTCTGTCAGATGAAAAGAAAAACAACATTCAGTGACATTTCCTCAAAGTGCTCTATAGTTCCTTCTTGCCAAACACTGCTGCAGCTTACTGCTTACTCATACCTGTCACATGCTGCACACCATTTCAGTGAGTCCAACCTCAGACTCCTCTATTGAAACTGTATATTAAACTGTTGTCATGCCGTACCCATCCTGCCCCTTGTAAGTAAAACACATCCCTAATTGTTGAGATTCTTTTCCCATGAAGTGCAGCAGCATCAGCGCTTTCAGCAAGTGTCCAAAAATGACATATGTGCATTCAAGTGACAAAACCCTTTACTGGCAGTAGTAATTACGACAAAACCACAGACGGATGCGTCAACAAAAGTCCAGACTTCAACAAGTGAGACCGCTGCTCTTTCCCATTTCCCCGAACCTTAACCACATGTTCATTATTGTAACCATGAGGATGAAGCAGTAATTTAAACCCAACCACATGGCTCACTACCCTTAACCTAATTACACTTATTTAAACCAAATCATGACCTTTCCTCAAACCTAAACAAGTCATTTTTGTGCCTAAGTGTAATCAAACCCTAACCATAGTGTTGTCTATGCGTCATTACGTACAACATCATTTGTTAAATTTGGAGTTGGACTTGTTTGTTTTCTTGTATGGATTTGAACGAAAACTATAAATCTGTATCATTCAAACAGAGGGGATAAAAAACAGTAAATCACATAAATCATTGTCATACTGGTTGTTATGGAAGGCACTGATGGACAACCTTTGTCATTTAGGTATAGGAATTTGTTGCTTCTCTTCTTCTTTCATTCACACTTGTTCCTCACAGCTTGTGCTGCTTACTCCTGCTGCTGTACCTGCCAGTGCCTCCTTCTGACAGATACATTTTGTGTTTGTTTTTGCTTTTATTCTTCACGCTTGTCTTGTTTATGTAAAGCATATTACATATTTCAGGGATACGTCTCCTGGTCTCTGTTTTCCTTCTCCTGGGTACTGTTAGATTGTGCTTGCTCAGCTGAGTTTCTGCAGCTTTACATGTAGATGGATTGGAAGGATCAGTGAAGAACAAGAACACCTCATTTGTCTGTTATTCCTTTTTTTAACAACACCCTTTCTTCTTCAGACATTGACGCTCCGACCAACCTGATCACGACTGAAGTAACAGAGGACACTGCAACAGTTTCGTGGGATCGTGTCCAGGCAGATATAGAGGGCTACATGTTGAGCTACACCTCTGCTGAGGGCTCCAGCTCTGAGATCCCCGTAGGACGTGACAGAACCTCGTACAGGCTGGTTGGCTTGAGGCCTGGAGTTCTCCACACTGTCTACATCTGGGCCTATAAGGGAGACAAAGTCAGCAGTAAGGGCTCAACAGAGGCTGAAACAGGTAAACTTTGAATTCATTACAGGAGTGATCAATGCATTTGATCTTTTCTCTGTGTCCACAGTGAAAGAACTTCATAGATTACTTCTATATTAATGCTGGACACTTTATGTTTAAAGGATCTGGTGTTTGATATGACTTCGACAAAGAATTACACAAAGGTTTGAGATAAGAGATTAATCACTAACACCTCAGTCTGAAAAAAAAGTAGATGTAAAAAAAAAAAACAAAAAAACATTTTGACGTGGGACTCTCAGATATCTCAAGTGTTTCCAGGCAACGTGTTCCTTTTCTTTCTTCTTTACAGCTTGTGAGCAGAGACAAAGATGTTTTAAGTGGCTCTTTTTTTCAAGCTCCTTTGTGCTAGACGCTCTTACCTCAAATAGCCCTTGTGTACAATGCACCAATCATTTCACTTTGATCTCCTGTGTGTTGGTTTTCCACACAATTTCCTTGTCTTTGTTGTGATGGCAAGAAGTAAAAAGCATCAAAGTAGACACTTTACACTTAGCACGCTATCCCCTCTTTGCCTAACTGCCAAGAGGGAAACTGAACTCCCACTAAAACAAGGCTATTTAACATAATTAGGCTGGACACTTGATTTAAAGGCGGTTTAGTTTAGCCTGGGGCTTAACGTCTTTAAGAAGTTTGAGAAGAGCCAATTTTGCTTCGTTAACAAAGCCAGCGGTTTTGTTTCTCCTGTGTTCTCCTGTCTCTTCATCTTAGCTGCTGTGAAGGTTAGCAGCTGCTGCTGTCTGCTTGCCTTTATGTCTCTGAAGAGAGGCGGCAGAAGAACGCTTTTGATGACTGACTGGCTTATATCCAGACGGCTTTAGACACCAGAAACTTTTAGGACATTCATATATCAGCAGTGAAAGAAGATACAGTTTTCACATTTTTATTGATGTGACTGTTAAATACCGACAGTCTAAATGTTTAATATGGTCAGGAATACAGTGTAAGAGCAGCAATCCACACAGCACACTCCACACTTTTTGTAATTCATACTTTATAATTTTTAGGTTGTTGAATTTATAATTTACACCCTGCACTTCTGTGGGTGTATGGTTATGTGCGTGTGTACTGTATGTGTGTGTAATAGTTTCCTTTGCTTTCAGCCAACTGGGTAAAAAACGGTTTACTTCTTTGAGTTGCTGTGTTTGCTGAATACACCTGATGTCTTTTTTCTATGTTAATGCACATTTTAAATTTGATTTTCATTCAGGTTCAGTCTTCAGATTTTTGCTGGTACTTTTTGATGAGAAAAACAGACATTTTAGCTCCAATAATTTCACTCATAGATAAACCAGCGGGAGTGATCATGGAGGCAAATATCTGAAGTGGCTTCAAGCTTACTTTGGCAGCTGATGATGTTAGCAATTGTGGTCTTAATGAACTTTTATGGGATGGTTCAAACTTTGTGAAGTAGGGTTATATGAGATATGTATCCATAAATGGTGTATTAACTACAGTGGATGATGGAGTTTGGAGAAGCAGGCAGGAGTTCCACTACAGAGACTAAGCAATGTCCTCTGTGGACAGTGGCAGCAGCAAAACGTATTTAAGATACATTAAAAAAATCAGTTTAAGAATACTTCACTGCTTTACCTTGCTATAGACAACGCTATGCGACTGGAAACTGAACTGAAACGCATCTACACAATCTTCAAAGCCAGACTCCATTGACAAAAACAGTAATTTTACCTCGCTGAACATGGAAACTGCTGGTCCACCGCTGCCTTGATCACTTAGTTTGTTTACGTTAATGCGTGACTTTGGTGTTTAAAGGGTTAATTCAGATTCACCAAATTCACACAAACAAACTAACCAAAGGAGCCAGCGGTAGACCAGCAGCCGCCATGTTAAGCAAGCTAGAATTACTGTTTTTGTTAATGGAGTTTGGTGGCTTTGCAGAGAGCAAAGATAGACAGGGATCTCTGGCGTCCCAGAGACACTCCCCTAATGCCAGGTCTCACTGCTCTCCGTGCCGACCCAACAACCTCCTTTACCTTACATTACACATGGCTTTCTCAGCCCAAACAGCGTTGCCACCTTCAACAGGCTCCGTTTATGCGAGCTCCAGGTAGTGACCGTGCCGATACTACCTTTCCTAGCACGTTCACCATACCCTATTTCACACGCTAAATATCATAACTCCAATATAAAATACATTTTGCTGCTAACCCCTTCCACAACAGTACATTTTTTAGCTTCTGTGGTGGTACTGCTGCCTGGTTCTCCAAAGTGGGGCTTGCTGACTATCATGTACTGTAATAAACTGACAGCCCCGCTTCTCTTTAACATGAGCGATACAGGGAGGAATAACTATTGTTATTATCACTCTGTCATGACAAGGGAGAGATGTGTGAATTATTTGGTGTATACATGTTGGAAGTTTTCACCCTCAGTATTTAAGTGAACACTTCCTTCCCTGTTTTTGAACTGTCAAACATCCGGAGTGTGATAGAGCAGCAAAGTCAAAATACAGATTCATTTAGAGGCCAAACTAAACAGTGATATTGTATCACTGTAATCTGAGTGGTTCAGATTTTTCTCAACTCCAATAATGTTCTGTCACCATCTATTGAAGTTTGCATGTTCTTTAATTAACATAGCTCATAGTATACTCATCGTAGCTCTGCTTACATAATGTGATATGATGTCAAACTTGGACTCAAAACCTCAACAGAAAAAAACGTCACATTGGATTATTTGATTAATAATGAAATAATTTCAACATTTGTTTAACTAAAGTTATTCAGTGTTTCTAAACAGTTTTCATCTTCTTGATGAGACAAGAACTAATTTTGACTAAATTACCAAAAAGATGTCAAATCTCTCCAACACTTTGATCCAAGTTTGACATTTCTATCCTCTTATACTGTGACCGAAGGTGATGCGTAAGAGGTAGCCACATTATGCTGATTTAGATCAGCTGTGTAGTTATTTATGTGTTGTTATGTTTGCACTAGATGTAGTGATGTTCTTTAGTAGTCCATACTAACCATAACTCCTCACGCAGAGCTGGACGCTCCTACTAACGTCTTGGCCCAAGATGAAACAGAGTCCAGCTTCAGGGTGTCCTGGGATCACACCCAGGCAGAAATTGATGGCTACGTCCTAACCTACAGCTCCTCTGAGGGCTCAAGTGAGGAAATCCCGGTCGGGTTTGACAGCACTTCATATGTGCTGACTGGCCTGAGGCCTGGTGTCCCCTACACTGTCTACATCTGGGCCATCAAGGGAGGCAAAG